ATTTACTAGGCGCCTTACCGAAGACACCGAGCTGAGACGTTGGGTGACCAGGATTTTTCAACCTATTTTTAAGTCGCTTCACGTCACACAATCCCTGTTCGGGATAATGCAGAGGACTCGGTTTAGCCGGATCTCGGTATCCCGTTGGATTGTTCCCCAAACACGAATCCATTGATTGGTGCACAAGGTAAAGTTTTGGCCCAGCTTCCTGTGGCTTCCCATTCATTTGCTTGCCGAAAAGCACAAGCCAAAGGGTCTAACAAAGCACCCAGCGGAACTCCATGGTTCTGAGCGCTCATCTGTCACGTTGTGATTATAGTCGGCCAGAGCAGCTGGAATATTCAATTTTAGTTTATCTGCAAGGATGTGTTCAGAAAAGAAGCCAACAAACCGTGTTTAAGAGGCTAAGGGTCTCTACTTGTGCGACTATATGCTAGACCAATCCATGTTGTCCGGTCCATCCAAGGATCCTGAAGGAAACGTCCTCCACACTGGCAAATCATTTACACCTGGTGTTTCGTCAGTCGCCTGATGAAGGCCGCCTACCCTCTGTTTGGAAGGAAGGGAGCAAATATCGCCTGGCAGCTATAGGCCTATAAGCCTCACTAGCGTGCCGTGCAAGGTGATGGAACGCATTATAAAACGAGCTATCCTAGATAACCTTACTTCCAGCAACCTGATATCTCCAGCTCAACACGGATTTCCCTCACACCGCTCTTGCGTGACAGACATGCTCGTGTTTATGGACGGCTTAACCCAAGCCAAGGACGAAGGACTCATATCGGAAGCCATGTTTTTCGACTTCTCAAAAGCATTTGATAGGGTCCCACCCGTCCCGCTGCTCCACAAACTCGAGTCTTACGGGATTCAAGGGAAAATCCATCGCTGGATCAAGGCGTTCGTATCAGACAGATCATTCCGAGTGAGAACGGGCTCGACCTACTCTTCTTCAGCGCCGATCGCCATCGGAGTTCCTCAAGGCTCCGTCCTGGGACCACTCCTGTTTCTGATCTACGTCAACGACCTCCCAGACGTTCTTGCGAGTCCATGTTTACTTTTTGCGGACGACTTGAAATCCTGGAGTTCCAATGCCAGCGCCCTCCAAATGGATGTAGACGCTGCCAAGCAGTGGTCGTTGGACTGGCACCTTCCTCTGAATGATGAAAAGTGCGTCCATGTGTCGTTTGGAGGGGATTCAGCGAATGCCTTTGTTATGCATGGTGAAAAGGGACCAGAAAACATCATGAGGATAGATGCCAAAAAAGATTTAGGCATCTGGGTCTCCTCAAACTTGTCCTTCGCACTACACCATGAGAAATCGGCCCAAAAGGCATTCGCCGTTTTACGGATGATCCGACGTACCTTCTCCCGTATTACTCGCATGGACTTCCAAATACTCTATGGGGCCTACGTCAGACCGCTCCTGGAGTACGCCAACCAAGTTGTCTACTCAGGACGTATGAAAGACGTTACCCTCATTGAGCGTATCCAGCGGGTCCCACTAGAATGGTTGCCGGCCTCAAATCCGTGGGCTACGAAACGCGTCTCGCGATGCTTGATCTCTTTCCCCTGGAGTACCGTCGCCTCCAAGGGGACCTAATTCTTACTTATGCGCTGTTTGAACAAAGCTTGGCAAACAGGATTTTACCATTGACTCAGCAAACACAAGGCGGGGACATGGTAAGAAAACTTTCATGCTCAGAGCACACACATTCATTAGACAAAATTTTCCCCATTTCGGGTGGTAGGTGCGTGGAATGACCTTGTTCCGATGGTTGTTCATGCTCCTTCTAGAACCCAGTTTAAAGCAGTATTAGACGTTTGTTTATGCGAATCCTCTCGCTGGCAAGCACACTGCCCCGCGTTGAGAATATAAAGAGCAGTGCTACACCCTTTTTTCACTTGTGCCTTTCAGGTGAACGACAGCCACTGACCGACAAGAACAAAAGCGACCCGGGAAACTTGGGCAATAGCCTCGATCCTGTCTATCAATCCGTGAATCCATGACAAAATTTCCTGAGCTATGCATTCCCATTTCATATAAAAGCATGTTTACTGCTGTTTTATCCGGCACTGTTCTGCCGAAGCGTGATGGGGAAATTCCGGAGCGCAACCAACGAAATGCTTAAAATTAATAACCTGGTTCCACCACGTGCTCCGAATCTTTGGACTACAGCTCGCGTATCAGCCTGATTACACGTATTGAATTGCAGCGAAAGGCGCAATACTTGAATTTTGACGGCACCCGTTTCGAGTAGGCGGGATGCCGTACGTTTCTAGTTCTGGTGAGTCTCATTGAGTGGTTTCTTGGACAATCACACCCGAATTTCGTGAAATACACTCCTGTCCATTCATTTTGATAACCGCGCAAGTCTTTGAGACCTTGAATGAATTGATGCCATTTCTCTGGTTGACCATATAGTCCTCCGCTGCACTTGATGCTTTGTTAGATTCAGTACGCGTATACACAAGTGGGTTCGATTGGTGAATAGACAGGCTCGTGTAGGTAGTTAGTTACATTGCGGTTTAGCCTCTATCTGGGGTGCTGATGGTGCGGGTAAATAGCTTAATTGACAACAGTCCGTGTGTGTACCGTTGTTGCGTTCACGTGGAAAGGAAAGATGAACGATTCGACGGAAGTGGGGTCAAGGGCTGAAGGGCAAATATAGCTATGGTGGAAGTTGCGGTGCAGAAGGTGGGTGACTCTGGTGGATGTTTAACGAGAAAGGAGACATCAGAGAGTTAGATAGGTTCAAAACCATCCAGACACCGAGATCCGTATGTTGTTCTGCAGTGGGAATAGAGTGGACTCTTCAGCTATTAGCAAATGTTTCAGCCGCTTTGGGTAGCCAATTCAGGACTGCAGTTGCGATGAAGAGACAGCGGTGAGTTTGTGGTTTTCCGCCACGATGGGATAG